AACCAACCACCAAACCAACAAACCAACCACCAAACCAAACCAACCACCAAACCAACAAACCAACAAACCAACCACCAAACCAACAAACCAACCACCAAACCAAACCAACCACCAAACCAACAAACCAACAAACCAACCACCAAACCAACAAACCAACCACCAAACCAAACCAACCACCAAACCAACAAACCAACAAACCAACCACCAAACCAACAAACCAACCACCAAACCAAACCAACCACCAAACCAACAAACCAACAAACCAACCACCAAACCAACAAACCAACCACCAAACCAAACCAACCACCAAACCAACAAACCAACAAACCAACCACCAAACCAACAAACCAACCACCACCAAACCAACAAACCACCCACCAAAACCAATAAACAGACCAACAAACAAACAAAGCCTGTAAATTCCAGGCCCAGAAGAACTGGTCCCAACAGACCTGACTGGTAGAACTGGAAGGACTCGTGTCCAGCATCGATGGCCACAGACACGGGGCCCACAGCAGCTACAGCTTTCATCAGAGCGTGTTCACTGCCACTTGGCACGTCCACGAAGCCTGTGTTGTTGGCCGCGTTGAACTTAGGGTCGTAGTGACACGGCTGGTCATCCTGGAAGACAGAAAACAGTGGTCAGGACAGGTGGTCCCAGGACAGGCGGTCCCAGGACAGGCGGTCCCAGGACAGGCGGTCCCAGGACAGGCGGTCCCAGGACAGGCGGTCCCAGGCCTTCACTGCACCTCTGGCCTCATACGTACCGTGCCCAGGTAGGGGTAGGAGTCCTCAGAGTCCAGACCCTGGTTGTCCTTGACGTACTGGAAGGCCTGGTCCATCAGACCCCCGTTGCAGCCCTCGTTGCCCTCGGGTCTGGAGCAGTCTACCAGGTTCTGCTCGCTCAGGGAGACCAGCTTACCGGTCTTCCTGAAGCCCTGACCCTCCAGAGCCCCAGTGGTGCTGAAGGCCCAGCAGGAACCACACTGACCCTGGACAGGAAGCAGAGGGGGAGGGGGGGCTCAGAGTCAACTTCCTGTCAGCTCAGAGCAGGACTCTGCTGACCCGCTTTAAAGAGAACGGGTCAGACTGGGTCCAGCTCACACTCATAATGGATGGGAGGGTACCTGGTCTTTGACGGGGGTGACGTAGCCCTTCTGCCTCCAGTCCAGGGTATGGGGGGCCTCCAGGAAGTTGGGCTCCAGGAACAGGGACCCCCTGAGGGTCTTGCTCTGGGGGTCTTTGCGTTTGTAGCCGTTCATCACCTGCTTGAACTCCTCATGAGTCTGAGGAACAGAGAAGAACCGTCAGAACCTGCAGCCTGACCCGGTTCTGTCAGCTGGTCCGGGGGTCTCACCATGTCTCCAAAGTGGTTCATGCCCAGGCGGTATGTGTGACCCCCCATGGAGTGCTCCAGGTTGTGCAGCTGGATCTTCTTCAGGTTCTTCTCCCACACCATCCTCCTCCAGCCCTCCTCCTTCTGTGGGACAAGAAACAGTCAGAACCAGGACCAGAACCAGGACCAGGACCTCACAGGACTCTGGACTCAGTGGGTCACCTCGTGGTACTTCCTCTGGTGCCAGCTCTTCCACTGGTGCCAGTGCTCATCCAGCTGAGGGTCCAGAGCCGGGGCCGCCAGAACCAGACCCAGATACACCGTCAACAAGGCTACAGGCAGCATGGCTGTAAACATCTGTAAACAACAACAGGTAAACATCTGTCAACAACAGGTAAACATCTGTCAACAACAGGTAAACATCTGTCAACAATTAAACTAATCCATCTTGTTAAAACCTGTTAACAAACATTCAGTGGAACACCTGTGTGCTGTTTTTGTTTTGTTTTATTTTGTAATGTCGGTTGTGTGTTCCTGTTCAGCCTGTGTGTGTGTGTGTGTGTGTGTGTGTGTGTGTGTGTGTGTGTGTGTGTGTGTTGACGTCTAGGCCCTCCTCTTTTGATTGACACCTCATTTGACCAACTGGGTTCAAGTATCGGCTGTTTATCCTGGGCTTGATGGACTGTAGAATCGACCAATCAGCTCCGATCTTTGTTCTGATGTCACAGCTGTGTAGCCAATCACTGTACCCTTCATTTGGTGTATATAATGGAGGGGGTGGGAACTTTGTTTAGTGATGGATGAGGTAAATACTGTGGAGGTCGCCATGTTTACACAGTCCTGCAATGCTAACGGAGGAAGCTACGCTCACAGGAAAACTTTTTTATTTCATAGTTTTTTGGTCAGTTATCTGACTAAACCTGCTGATAAGATGAAAATATATTTGTTATTAAGTGTTTCGAGTGCTTCAAGACATGGAAGAGTGATTTTTGTGGCCAGGAGAAGCTAAATTATTTGGATAATAACGCTGCGTTCACACCGAACGTGATTTCAGCTTCAAAATCACAGCCAACACTGAAGTTTGAAGCTCGTGCACTTTGAGGTCAGACGCAGGTCAGCTCTTGAAGCGCTGCACGGCAACAGCCTCCCCGCCCCTCCCTCCTCTGTCGGGCTCTGTTCAATGTCGGACCAGGAAGTGGCTTTGCTTTATTTACAGAGAGCCAGAGCATGTCACGTTCATCAGATAATTAATTCATAATTAATTCACCAGATAATTCAGAGTAGAGGCTCACAGCTCGCTTTCAGGACTATTTTTGTCCCGAGTCCAGTCTGATGAGCTGCATTGGTGCGGATATCTCCTGTCAGGACACCGACTGCAGGCACTCGATTTCAGCTAAAGAGCTCCTCTCCGTCTGTTTCAGGTTAGTGG